GGGGGGGAAGAGAATGATCAAATTAAAAACATTTCTAAATGCTACTAACTTCCATAGTTATTAATTCTATATTTATTCACACAGGACGCATCATAATGCCGCTTGAATCCGCACTGTCAAACAAAGTAGTGAGATAGCTAGCCCGCCATAAACAAGTAGACTAAGTCTAGTAGTAAACATAGCAAAACTATCTAGACTAGGGCTACATATCTGCCGACATTTATAGTCTATCAGGCTACTTCAATAATTCCATGGTCGTCTGACTGAAATTCCCCTCAATGGAATAGATCTAGTACACCTACACACCTCAACCCACAAATATTTTCATTTGCTTGACACGTGACTCCACGTGGCACGTGCACACAAAGGCTAGTGATTCTGATACTATAATCATAGATGTTAGAGACTACTGTGCTATAATAACACAAACAAACTATGGGAAAAGATTATTAAGTCTGTTAAACAGTAATGTAACCAATTTCATTATAGACTGAAGGAGGATTGGTAATGTCTGGTCTTTGAGACAACAAGTCCTGCTTAAAACAATTACCAGTTTGTCTTTCATCTCTTGGCATTCTTGAGGATAAAACATCATGGATATGCTGTAGATCATATGATGTATCTTTTTCCAATACCTCCAGCAATCCATTATTGTTTATTCCAGTCCCAATTGATTTATTGCATGCTACATAGAGTTCATGAGATGCAGGAATAGCTCTAATTTGTTTCATGTCAGTATTGTGGCTAGCAGCACAGACTATTGGATCAGTACATATAGTGTATGTGGAAGGAGTTGATTTCAAGTGTTCCTCTGGGAGTTTCTATTACAATGAAAAGAAGTATTGTAACAGTACAGTACTGTACAAGATGATTTATTGGTGAGGAATTAATATTGGCGATTGACGGTTCTATGAAGAAATTGCCAATATAAAATCCAAAATTTTATTTCAATCTGAGCATGCTAAATTGCACGTGACACAAAATTGCCAATATAAAATCCGCCAATTTCTTTCCACAGGCAAATTTGCCCAAATATTACTCCCACCAACATCTTGTATGGTATATCTGTACTAGAATGCCATTGAATGATCAGAATAATAATGAGAAAAGGTTTTGTAATAGACATGCAGGTAATTTATGCTTTAGAAAATTGTGCGTGATTTTAATAAGGCTGTGTCATGTATTATTGAATGTAGATGGCATGTAATTATTATACGGAATCTAATCTTCATGAATTTCTAATCCAGCAAAATTAAAGCCATGGTGAAAATTTCTAGATAGATGGTAGTTCCTTTTTAATTGGTAATATTATTATTATTATTATTATTATATTAATATATATGTGTCACCATTAAGTTATACATTAGTGTGTGTGTATCATACCAAAAGGTGATCCATTCCAATTATTAGATCTTGATTAAATCTATAATTATTTATAGTGATGAAAAAAATCAAATCAAAACCATCAGCTGTACTTGGATTTCAATGAAGTTTGTTTTCTCAAATACCACAGTATTGCCAATAATGACAAAATAAGAATTAGGACAAATGAAAAAATGCCACTGCTAATTAGAATGATTACTAAAAGAATAACAAGAATCAATGAATTCAGAATAATTATAGCATTTTTAAACAAGATAATAGCTAAAAAGTCTTACAAAAAAAATCTCCAAAATCAGTTGTTGTACTAGTAGTATCTACTGAACTATCTACATAAATGAGATACAGAATAGTTATTGGAGGCAATTTTTAGAAGCCTTGGTATTTACAAGAGTAGATGATAGTCACCCTTGGTATTTAGTATATGTACAGCCACTGGCCAAACAAGTAATTAATTTCAGAGTCATTAAAAAAATTTAAGTATGGGCTATATAATACAGGATATTTTTTAAATCCATATTTTCAAAACAGTCAAAACTTTGGTCAGAATTGGCTCAAAATTTCTCATATAAGATTAGTGCAAGATACAATAAAATTTGATGAGAATTTTGGAAAAACTGAAAAATATGCAATTAATAATGGTTCAGATGATTATTTAACTTACTGCTTGGAAATACATCAGAAGAACTACTAGTTACACTAGAGCCTATATCACTAGTAGTTAAAAATACACTAGTATCAGTCACTTCACTAACATCACCCACTTCACTAACATTGCCTATCAAGGAAAGAATTAAAATCACATTAAACCAACTGGCCATAGCAATTATCATGAACGCATTATTATTATACTAAAATTCAGTTATTAACTCTAGGAAATACAGTTCATTTGATTGTAATTAATTCAGGAATGCACTTTTACCTGTAATGTAGGATAGTTCATTTGCAAATGTAAGCTGATGCACTTTGGGAAATTTTGCTACAATAATTTCATAGAAAAGCCAGTTGTTATCACTCTTGTACATGAGTAAGAACATAATTTTAATGTTTAATCAGTTTTTGTTTTGTAGAAATTGTGAGCTATGTTTGATCAAACTGAATTTTAAAGTTACTCTACAATTGGGCCAAAGTCCTTGTAGCAGAAATTTTGACCAAATTTTATGAAAAATGAAAAGGAGAGAATTCTACACTTTCATTACATTTTCCGATACATATACATGCACTTATGTTGTGTAGAAAGTTTGAGCTGATTATGACCAAAATGGGATTTTTACAATTTTTTAAGTTGCTCAAAAATAGGGCAAAAGTTCTTGTACTATATAGTGCATGGTCCTTGGTCCAATTTCATCAAAATAAAAAGGAAAAAAAATATGAAGTACACAACATGTTGTAAATGCCATAATTTAATATACACATACAAATTATTATAACATATGTTGCAAATGCCTATCTAGTGTGATCTTACAAACTTCTTACTTGAGAATGGAATTTGACCTACACTGCTGGAAGTAGTACTAGACAGTGTTGTTGACTCTGTTATTGCAGTCCATTCATTATTTGTGGTGGTAGTAAAATAGTCTAAAAAAATAGCATAGTACTCTTGATACATCAGTGAACACATGTCATGTACCAATACTACATGTGGTAGTGAGACTGTTTTGATAAGAGATTGTTATTATCAAATAATTTAGTTTGCATCCATTTTGTAATGAAACAAAATTAACTTTTTCATTTTTATTGACTTTTATGATACATATACATGTACCAATGTTGCATATGAACTTTTATGAATTTTTAAAGCTGTAACCAAAGTCCCTGTCAAAAACAGCTAAAAGATAATTTGCCATTTTCACAGTTTTTCCTGATGCATACCGTATAGCGGGAAATTTTGGAGGGAATTAAATTTGGCGAATTTGGCGTTTTGATAGCTATTCGCCAAAATAAAATCCACCATTTTGAGCCTTTATACGTATGCTCAATGGCATGTGGCCACTAATTCGCCAAATTAAAATCTGCCAATAACCAAAATTTAGCAATTCGCCAAATTTTACTCCCTCCAAAATTTCCAGCTATACGGTATACATGTACTTATGTACATGAAATGTTGTATTCATAAAACTTCTTACCTGATGAAAATGAACTCGAACTCAATTCTGCAGTAGTACCAAACGAAGAAGATAGTGTGACGGATTCTGTGATTGCAATCCATTCATTATTTGTCGCAGTAGTAGAATAATCTAAAAAAATAGCATAGTACTCGTAACACATTACATGCACAGATGTGCCAACACCGAATAGAGGAAATCAGATTGCTGCAATATTTTTGTTGTTAAACACTCCATTTTTTTATTTCTACAGTCTCTCTCTCATAAAGCTAACATTATGTCACCAATAAAAACTGATAATACATTAGTGTTAAATTGACATCGTGTCATACAGACTTTCTTTTATTGTGGTATCCTTTATGTGGAGGTTATTTTATCAGGCTCATGCTTGGATTAACAGCACAATAGCTCTCAAACTGGGTCTTTTCTCTCACTGCTCTTTTACAAAGGTATCACATTAATTATGTGCAAGCCTAATAGCCACTGACCTTCAATAATGGAAGAAGTAGCAGCTGGTGCTGTACCAATGTCAACTAAAATGATAATCAATAAACTGCATGGCAGTACAATAATAATAATAATGTATAAAGTAGAGACTGCATGGAAATGTGTTTAATAGTATATACCTTTATTGCTGCAGGTGCTTCCATTGCCATTTGTAAAGTACCACTCATATTCATCGGTATTTTCTGCACAACAAACAAAAACACAGAGAGAATTCTCCTGCACATCTACACTTTCAAGCTGGCGAGGTATCGATGAGACTTGAATATTTGCTTTTAAATTTTCACTATAATAATAGCATAATGAAGCATAATAATAATTATAATTGTATCAAAAACAGTTTAAATTATTTTTCTAATCTCTATCAAAATACTATAGCTCAGCAACAAAATGGATTTATTTCAACTAAGTTTATGAACAAATTGTTCTTAAGCATTGTATCTGGTAAAATGTGCCTCAAATTAAGTAGTCCAGCAGCATAAGTTATGATTAGCATACATGTGCTTCTGAAAATCACCTTCTAAATAAACTCATATTGTTCAAATGATAACAATAGTAGTCAAGTTGGATGTGTCCATAATCAGATGCAGACTCTCCTCCTAGTCCAATATCAAAACTAGCTGTACCATTACTGCACCCAACAGATAGAACAATTTGACTTGTATCTACAGGAATGAAGGAAAAGTAATGATTTCAAGCTTTTAATCAAACTAACTTACTTTCATTTTTAATGTTTGACTTTTCCAAGCACAATTTTTCAGCCCTTGCCCCTGGAAAGAGGTGCAGGAAAGGGAGAGAAAGAATGATGAGCCTTAAGGCAGTTACTATAGACAGCATGACAGCTGTGCCAAGTGGTAACACTACTAAACTCAGAGTAATAAACATGATTTATATAGTGACATTGAAAAGAATTCTTATCAGTAAGCACCCACACACACATAACTTGTATAATAGTAAATATGAACACACACACAGTCACACAGTAACACACACACATTTTTGAAATGATGCAAATTGCAGGGATTCCTCCCTATACAGGAAGTAAATTTTTCTATAGTGAACATTAAAATTTGTGGAAATCAATCAAAAATTAATGTGAGCATAACTGTTTTTATTCATAAATTGCATTTTAAAATCCTTTAAGTAAGCATGCAAAACATGCATCTTATGTATAATGCAGCAAAGCAGTCATGATTGGTACAATAAATACAAATGATTACATATATTTCATGGGAAATAAATTTCACAATTTTTACATTCTGGAAAAATTTACGAAACTGAGATCTACAAAATAGCGTGCTGATTATATAGCAGGTGTGGTATTTACATTAAAATCACGAAATCTTTATTCACAAAAAAATGCAGCCAAATCACAAAATTTTATACCCACGAAATATATGGCGTAATATACAGTAATTTGATGAATAGAAAATGCTAAAATCATAAATCAGTATACACAAATACAAAATAGTAATAATAATAAAATCCATTAAACAACATTCCACTGTATAGTATAGCTCAAAGTTCACTACATTAATTGAGTGCAGAATCCTTGATGTCATATTACATCAATGACATTTGTGTCGTCTACATAGCTATCTGCTCATACTAATCGATATTCAGTTAGTTGATATCTTCTCTCTTTAAAATGTTAAGACCAGTTCTCTTGTGTATTGTCCTACTTCACTGCTTTAACATTATGCATATGATTATGCATACCCATGCAGTACTCCAATATACAGTAAGAGTTATGAGTCTGATATCTTGTTGTCCTAGCAGGTCATGTTGTTATACTTACAACGTATTTCCCAAGAAACTCATTTCCTTTTGTCATTAGCATATATAATTGATACTAATATGAAGGAAATTGTGTTATTGTGATAACAATATCTGTAATAGCTATTTTTATTATTGCATTATTAAGTGGAGGCGTGCAGTCTTTCCTTTATATCAGCATTTTCTGTTATTTGTTTTTTTACCTTCTTTCTTTAAAATGTTAAGACCAGTTCTCTTGTGTATTGTCCTACTCCACTGCTTTAACATATCTTCAGGTAATCATTAGTACAATATCTTCATTATAATGACCTGTACTGTATATTATATTAGCTAATGATGAGGAATCATCCTCTTGTCAGGCAGCTACTTTATCTTGTGAGGATATTAAGAATTATTGGCCAGAGAGTTCATCAGGATATTATAATATAGTAAGCAAAGGAGATGAAAGGAGATATATGTATTGTAATATGGAGAAGCTAAATGGATCTACCTCTTTAGTCAATCCCTCCAGCATTCAACCAACAGAGACTGTATTAACCAGCAGTGAATCAGCAGACAGCTCCTCCACTGTCCAACCAACTGAGATACTTTTTACCAGTAGTCTACCAATAGAGGCTAGCTCAGTACATTTTCCCCTTTCTTCTAGTGTTATGCCTCATCAGACTAATGTATTACCAGAACCATGTGGTTCAGGAGGAGGATGGACAAGACTAGCATATCTGAATATGTCTGATGCTACACAGAACTGTCCTTCTGGGTTTAGACTGTACCAGTCAGGAGGAGTTAGAGCTTGTGGTAGGACTAATGATTCAGCTAGCTGTGTATCAGTTCAGTTCCCATCTAATGGTATCAGTTATTCTCAGATATGTGGTAGAGTAACAGGATATCAATATCGCTCAGGAGATGCATTTCTAGGTGGATCTAATGATATCAATGTTCCATACGTTGATGGTGTTAGCATCACTCGTGGGTCTCCTCGTCAACATGTCTGGACACTAGCATGCAGCATAAGTGATGGTCACTTCTACTTCTACGATTGGTTATGTCCATGTGAATCAGGGAGTGTCCAAGCTGTACCATCTTTTGTAGGAAACCATTATTTCTGTGAGTCTGGTAATCCTACTAATACTCCCAATATTCTCTACACATCTGATCCACTCTGGGATGGTCAAGGTTGTGGTTCTCGTGAACTTACTTGTTGCTCTGCTCCAGGGCTACCATGGTTTCACAGAGACTATGGTAACACTACCACTACTGACTATATTGAGTTGAGGGTCTGTGGAACTGAAGGAATCAGCAATGATGATGTTCCCGTTAGCTTTTATGAGATTTATGTCAAGTAACTTGTTAATATAGAACTCTATGTGGTAGCCTAGATACATATTGTGTTTGCTTATTCATAATTTTATGCTGTTTTAACGCTAAAATACAATTTTTATTGCTTCAATTATTTTTTCCTCAGGTGGAATAGGTATAAAAAGATATCAAAATTGTAGTGCCCAAAGTTGCTACATATTTTGCAAAGTTTTATTGAAAAAAAGCAAAAATTTGGTTCTTAAAAATTTACTTTAAAATAATTTTAAAACCAAATGCATTAGCATTAGATTTTAACAAAAATAATTTTAATCAAACTTATCCACCCACGCAATCACTGGACCACACCCACAGACCCTCCCCTTACCACACATGGCGGGCGTAGGTCCATCAAGAGGTAGATCTGGAACTCCTTCGGCTATTCCTCATCTCCAATCCTCTTCTGACAGAGGAGATGAGACTGGGAGCTCGTGTATCTCCAGTCTCCGCCAGTGTAGGAAACTATTGAGGAGCCTAAAGAAGCGCTCCGTTTTGAAAAGAAAGATAGCCTCAAGGAAGGTGTGTTAGTGATGATGTCACTTATAAAATGGCCGACTTTTACTAGCTATATCACGTGACTAGTTAATAAACCATCAAGTTACTTTATAGCGTACTCTGTGTAAAGTTAGGACGTGGTATATTGCTTTAAAAGATAAAATTTTGAATATACAATGTACATGTACCTTTTTTTGACATTAGTCTTTTAGTATATACATGTATGTACGTGTATTTAATCAAGAGTGGATAATTCTTGATTTAATTTATGATATATATATTGTGCATCTATCCATTAATGATTGGAAGCTGCTTTATTATGGGAGGGAGGGAGAATTTAATTGCTGCAAATAATTATACTGAAATATAAAATTAAATTTAAAATGTTTTCAATCACTTTGACTGCTTTATAATTAGCAAATAAATAATAAATAAATGATTTGAATAGTTTGTTTATTTTCTTAGAGTGGTATGAGTCATCTTCGGTATATTCTCAAGCTCTCCTCTCAAAGGGAATTTGAAATGAATGATAATCACAAGTTTTTAATAAATCCGAAAAGACACAGGTATTATGTAACTAGTAATAGTTAATAATAATCATTAATAATAATAATTTATTTATTACATTATTTGTCATTATAATTAACATTATTGTTTTAATTTTATTATGTTTTAGAGTGACCCAGTCTAAGCCAAAGATCAAAGAAGTAATGGCTGTAGTTTCTCTTCCTTGATTCCCCTCTCTCCCCCTCCCTCCCTCTCTCCTCCCTCCCTCCCTCTTTCTCTCCCTTTCCTTCTCTCCCTCTCCTTCTCTCTTATATCTTTAGTCTGCTGCTACAAAGGAGAATGGTGAGGATCAAACGTTTAAAGGCTCAGATGTATTTCTTAAGGTAAAGTCCCTTGAATGCAGGCTCATGTACATGTACATGTACTATTGTATGTCATTACATGTATATGTACATGTACATGTATGGTGTGTTCCTTTAGATCTTATGTACATGTACATGTACCGTAGGTCGGGATATATTCGCGGCTGCAATTATTCGCGGTCATAAAAAATTTCAATTAAAAACCATGGAAACCGAGGTGTTATTTTAATTGAAAACGGCGCGATAGTGAAGAAAAGCACCTTGCTGCAGTGTTCTTGAGCTGTTGTTCTTCTTGTGTCACTAAGCCTTGGGCTCTTTGGAGCTGCTTTACCAGTTCTTTTCAGGACTAGTGCCTCGCCGTATTTTGGGACTCTCCACCCATTCTAGTTAGTGTTTATTGACTTGGGCGTGGTTTATCATCACCAGCACGCGGACCAGCAACAATTTGCAGCAAAGAGGTTAAAAGAGCTCTGAGGTAGCGGTCCATACAAGAAGTTAACAGATAGAGAAGGACTCGTTATTGGTAAATGGCTCCACTATAGCTGCTAAAGAACAGATGAATAGCTGAACACTAAACACGTGGTCTTAATTGTCATAGCAACGCTCTAACAGTTTCCATGGTTTTTAATTGAATTTTTTATGACCGCGAATAATTGCAGCCGCGAATATATCCCGACCTACGGTATCTTAATCTTCTTCATCCTCAAGATGTACATGTACTTACTTTTATTTATTTTATTTTATTTTATTTTATTTTATTTTATTCTAGGGTACACAAAGTGCCAATCCTCACAACGACTATTCTCAGCACTTTGTTGATACCGGCCAGAGACCACAGAACTTCATAAGAGACACTGGTGAGTGGACGGTGGACACTGGTTGACCACTGGTAGAGGGGATGGTTGATGGGGGAGAAGGCGGGGGGGGGGAGTGGGAGAGGAATAGAGTTAACAGCTGGTGTAGGAGTACATGTACATAGTGCACATAGACACATTGAGTCAGACATTCTTGATACAATTAATGTAAGAATTAAGTGGAGGTTATAACCCTAGTGGACCTTTGTTACAATTTAATTAATAACAATTATAAATACTATTGAATTCTTCATTTATAGTACATATTTATTGTACTTCTCTCCCTCCCTCTCTCTCTCCCCCCTCTCTCTCCCTCCCCCCTCTCCCTCTCTCTCCTTCTCTCCCTCCCTCTCTCTCCCCCTCTCTCTCCCTCCTTCTTTCTCTCTTCCTTCCTCTCTCTCTCCCCCTCTCCCTCCCTCTCTCCCCCTCTCCCTCCCTCCCTCTCTCTGTCCCTCTCCCTCCCTCCCTCTCTCTTCCTCCTCATTTCCTCATATTCATAAGGAATGAATCAAAGGTTTGAAGAATACCCTAAGCTAAAGGAACTCATCAGACTAAAGGTAAGCACTTATAGTACAAGCACGTGTTGTACCTTATACACAATCACTCAACCATGCAGCAACTGACCAGTATAAAGCCATCAAATATACCCAGCCTTTACTGTAAATGGCTTCTTACAAGTACATGTATACATGTACATGTATCTGGTATTAAAGATACATCCATAGTTATGATAATAATGATGATTGTTGTGGCTCATATTATGTTTTGTGCCATTTGGTGGCAGACTTTCCTCCTTCCTGGAAATATCCTCTTATCCTTTGAGCAAAGAATACACAGAATGGTTTATTCTGTTTCCTCCAGTTTAAATGAACCTCTCCTCTCTCTCCCCCTCTCTTTCCTTCACAGGATAAACAGATCAAAGATGGTGCTATTCCTCCAGTCTATTACAAGGTTGATTTATCGTCGTTTGATTTGACCAGTTTAGATGCAAAATTCGACGTTATACTGATAGACCCTCCTCTTGAAGAATATCAGAGAAGAACCACCGGGATTACCTACCCCTGGCAACCATGGGATTTTGAAGAGGTACATGTATACATGTATACATGTATATATAGACAAACCTGTCTATTCCGGACACCTTGGTACCCAATAATACCCTAGCTCCTGATTATGAACCTGTCCTTATTTCAGAGGTTCATTAATGCACATTACTATTGTATTGGGACTGATTCTACCTATCCTCATTATAGAGGCCTCCTTATTTTAGAGTGTCCACAATAGCAGGATGTAGAGATAATACAGGATATAGGTTATACTATATATGGAGGTCTTCTAATTACAGTGTACATTCACTACATTCATTACATTCATTACATTGTGTTTGTTGTAGATAATGAATTTAAAGATTGAAGATGTGTCTGCTCCAAGATCATTTGTGTTCTTGTGGTGTGGATCTTGTGAGGGACTTGACTTAGGAAGAGAAGTACATTAGAATTACATTTTCTGATCATATATGTATGTTATATATATATATATATATATACATGTATGTAATTCATACATTACATGATACCCAAGGCTATAGTCCATGGTTTTTTCTGGAAAATGGCTCCGAAATCACTTCGAATTTCTATTACATTTTCTGATACATATTGATGTCCTTATGCTGTATAGAAAGTTTGAGCTGATTCTGACTTCACTTTTTTGAGTTACAGTCATTTTAAGAAAACGCCAAAATTCTGAAAAATACCCAAGGCTATAGCCCATGGTTTTTTCCGAAAAATGGCTCCGAAATCACTTCGAATTTCTATTACATTTTCTGATACATATTGATGTCCTTATGCTATGTAGAAAGTTTGAGCTGATTCTGACTTCACTTTTTTGAGTTACAGTCATTTTAAGAAAACGCCAAAATTCTGAAAAATACCCAAGGCTATAGCCCATGGTTTTTTCCGAAAAATGGCTCCGAAATCACTTCGAATTTCTATTACATTTTCTGATACATATTGATGTCCTTATGCTATGTAGAAAGTTTGAGATGATTCCGACTTCAATTTTTCAAGTTATGGCCATTTTAAAATGTGATATACTTATACATGTACATGTATAAGTATAATGACTCTTTCTTTATGTGTGTTCCTCCATTCAGTGTTTAAAGAAGTGGGGTTTCAGAAGATGCGAGGACATTTGTTGGGTAAAGACGAACATGAACGACCCAGGGAACACAACCCACCTGGAACAGAAGTCGATATTCCAACACACCAAAGTACATTATAGCTATACACATCAAATTGTATTACAATACAAGATTAATGTACATTTATAATAGGAGGGTTCACTAAAAACATGAGTACTGTGTGTTACATGTTTTATATTATTTTAATTATTTATCTGTCAATTTTTAACTCAGTCACACATACATGTACATGTATATTATTGTTAATTAATAAAGTTTTTTTGTATATGGTCATACATGTACATGTACATGTACATGTACATGTCAATATACCATGAACTGCTACCAATATACTATACCAATATACCAATATACTAAGAACTGCTTTGTTTTAGGTATTATATTAGGTACACAGTAAGCTCCATTTAACTGCCTAAAGCTACAAAGTACATATTAACTGCATGAACATGCTTTTACATAATAATAATAATAATAATAATAATAATAATAATAATAATAACAATAATAATAATAATAATAATAATATTATTATTATGGTGTACATGTACATGTACATATACTACTAGTGTACATCAGAGGAGAGAAAGGGGTGTCCATATCAGTGCATAGTTTAATACCCTCCTCTTGTTAGTGTGTACACGTG